ATGCAAAACAAGTAGCAGTTTCTAATATACCGTGATAATAAAATCCTCTGTTATCTGATGTTTCCGAAAGAAGAATAGCAGATAAGCCACATGGATGTGATGTGAGCTTCATGAAGCTTTTGCATGATTTGCTTCCCGTGCGCACACGTGGGTGACAGGTGTCCACTTGAATAGATAGCATTCACGGTACTTCACGCTGGAGCCACAGTAACTTCAATACGTGGAAACTGCGGGCATGAAGGAGTAATGCAAAAAAAACAAAAAAAACACACACACACACACACACACACACACACACACACACACACAAAAATGAAGCATGTTGGTTTAGGATATTTTTGAAAAGATCCCCAATTTTGTGGGAAGGGGTGTCCTTGCCCTTGTTATATAATTCTCACAAATACATTAAACAGTAACAGTCAAAAAAATATATATTTTTTTAAATCTCCAAATTGGGTCTTATTTCTTCCATTTTTTTTTTTTTTTTTTTACTAAATATGCAAGCAGGAGTTCAGTCTAAAAGGTCTTTGTACTTGTTGCTTAATACTTTAAAGACTTCTACAAATAAGTTTCATTTAGTAAGATAAGATAAGAAAACCTTTATTGTCTCAATGGACAAATTTGCAATGTACAGCAGCAAAGTTCAGAGGGAAGAAGTAGAATTTTGCATGCACAAAATAATTTTTCCAAAAAAATGAACTGTACGCAGTACAGATTGCAATATAAAAATACAAAATATAAGATCCAAGCATGCAGTATATTCAACTGCGTATGTGCTGCATAAGGTGGCTGTGCTATTTACAATGGCTGAGTGGGGGAGAGTCCAGGTTTTCAGGTGCATTTATTCAGTAGCCTGACAGCAGTCGGCAGGAACGAGCGGCGGTGCCTCTCTTTCTTGCAGTAGACCAGTGAATCGATCAATTATTCTTCATATGGTGTACACCAGACTAAATATCTGAACTGATGCCTCATTCTTTGTGTGTCGGCTGTTTCTTGTAGCCAGGACAAAGTCGTGCCTTTTAGTCTGCCCCTTTTGACACCGATGTCTAAAGCCAATCACAAAGACCTGCTTCACACATCCTCCGTACACTCTTCCCTCGAGTTGTGCACACATGCGTGGCAAAGGATGGATCGTTTGCTTCTGCGTGGACAATTTAAGATGACCATGACTGCTTTTGTTATTTCTATAATGTATTTATTTTCCTGTGTTGACATTTTGTGTCCCCTGAAAATTTGGACATTTCGCTAATTAAATGTAAATTAGCCTCCTAATCTTTTGAAAGGCTGGATTTTTACGCAGTCCCCCTATGTCGGATGTCATTAACAACACAGAGTGAATAACATATAAGAGGACACCATTGGGAAACAGTGCAGTGACATGCCCTAATCCCGTCTCTTACCTCCATGAATCCAATCCCTTTTCCGATACGTTTCCATGTGTGTACTCAGTCTAGCAAGCAGCCCCCGGTGTAAAATGACCCATCGTAGACTAGCGGCTTTGTTGGCATGACAAAGCTGCGGCGTAAGCACTCGCATAATAAATCTAAGTGAGGCAGTTGCATAAAAAGACACCCCCTGCCCCCGCTGTTTGTGAGCACGAAGACACGCCGTCATGTCACACACTCTGTGCGTGGAAACAGATTGAGATGGAAGGAGGGTCGTTTTCAGGGTTTACCTTCGGGTTGATCTGAGAATGGATGTCGTGTTCATTCCCGTTTAGTTTCCACTGTTCGATTATCATCCTCGGCATAACGGTACCAATCTGCGACGTGAAGCTCCCCTCTGAAAACGTCTCGCCTGTTCATTTAGCTCAAAGTTGACAGCTACACGCTCATTAGAATGCGCACTTCCGAAATGAAATAGTAAATAGAATAAAATACGATTCCCTTCCGAAAGAGGTCTCACCTTGCACAAAGTGTAATGAAATAGCTGGAATAATTTGTTTTGGAAAGGTCCCATGTTGTCACTTTGAGTCTGTTTCATTGTGTCTAAGTGGATTATCATAGACAGACAGCGGTGGAGCCGGCAAGACATTAATGCTATTAGTACCTGCGGACTGAGCAGCACCGATCACTTGTCAATCCAAATGTTGTTTGGCAAAGACTCACTGGCGATAAAGACTTTGAAATGAAGAGCACTTTTGCCCTCCATGTGATAACCATTTCTTAAAGGGCAGAGCGTGCCCCAATCCAAAAAGGAGAGAGTTCACTTCAACGTGTAACGAGCACTGGTCGCTTTTCACAGTGAAGGGTGATTGATCATCAATCTGATGGGATCTGATGAGAAACCGGCTTTGCATTGACCATCTTGGACCATGTAGGCTAAAGGGATTCGTTTTGTTCACAGCCTAATTTGACGGTATCCATTTCTTGGAAGAAATTCCAACAGACAAAGAAAAAAAATGTGATTTCCAATCTCTTGCGTGTCCCACCGTCACGATAACCTTGCTGTCTGGCTTCCGTTATCTCTTGAAAGTGGACATCATTGGATTAAGCGCTGGCCCAAACATCTGATATGTAACGGATACCTATCATGATTAATTATGAAGAGCAATTACAGCGGAAGAGAAAATGGGGATAACGCGGAGAGTAAGGTTTACCGTCATGGACCCGAATTCTTTTGACGTCATCCTTTCTGGGAATAACGGTAGTTTGCGTATCTGCATTCTTACTGTCCACGTCGTATGTTGGGCTGAACTTTATGACCGACTTAGTAATGCCGACAAATTAACGTTTAACTCCCATTCACATCGGGGTCACTTGATTTTTGCTCTTGAAACTAAATAGAGGTCATTGATTTGCCAGGCATATACAATTTTGTGCACATTTATTTGGCCTCGAACAGTGAGAGCAAGATTAACCCTTTCAAGGACAGCGGCAATTAGAGTGGACAGTGATTCAAATGTTTTTTTTATGATGAAAAATCTCACGTCTTTTGCATGTATGCACATATTTCCATCCATCCATCCATTTTCCGATCCGCTTATCCTCACAAGGGTCGCGGGAGGTGCTGGAGCTTATCCCAGCTGTCTTCGGGCAGTAGGTGGGGGACACCCTGAACCCATTGCCAGCCAATCGCAGGGCACACACAGACGAACAACCATCCACGCTCACACTCACACCTAAGGACAATTTGGAGTGTTCAACCAGCCTGCCAAGTGTGTTTTTGGAATGTGGGAGGAAACTGGAGTACCTGGAGAAAACCCACGCAGGCCTGGGAAGAACACGCAAACTCCACACAGGGAAGCCGGTGCTGGAATTGAACCCGGTACCTCTGCACTGTGAGGTCGACGCGCTAACCACTGGCCCACCGGGCCGCCCTGCACATATTTCAAATGGCATTTTTGTCATACATCTAGCACCGACGAAACTTGTGGCCCTCCTCCATCATTTAAGTTGTCCATCCCCGCACCCTTTTTTTGTCCGCGATGTTATGACAGCTCTTATTGCAACGGAGTTGTACTCCACTTTAAACCACAACCACCATACTAAACATTCTCTGACCGTGTCAATCAAAAGTGAGTATTATCTTTGCGAACGCTGATCAGATTGCACCGGTGTACCTAATGTTGTTACTTGTCAATGTTTACCATTACAGGCACTTAAAGCAAGGTCGCCTGTTAGCTTTGACTTCTATAATCAAGAGAAAATCGGTCACCTTTCAGCCAAAAGGTGACTTTGAAGTAAATAATGGATACGTATTGCTTCCCCATTGTCTGTCTCAAAGGTGTGATTGCTACATTATGCCCTCTGTCTGAAAGCAGCCGCTGGAGCGTTTCAAAGGAAGCGTCGATGAAGATGTTCCCGTGCACGGCGTAGGCTCTAACACCGTGGAAGTGGTGCCGTTCATTTGTCCACGCGATGGATTGCAGTCATTGCGAGCAAAAGCTTTTCATTTGACTCCGGTGTGGTAATTAGGTTTCAATCGGCTGTGCTCGCTAAGAGGAATGGGTAATGAAGTTAGTCGGCGCGCGGGGCTGTGTGTGAAGAGAGGCGCCGGGAGTAGTTTGGGTCAGTACATTTAACAGTCTGCCTCTTATGCTCGAATTCATTGTGCAATGCTGTTTATTGTGCGTATCACAGGCCCTTTTATGCGCCCGTTAAGTGGGCCTGGCACATTACTGTAATGGGGATGGGGCATGAAAACACTGAAACCCGAGCTTGCGCCTCTCCTTGGCTTCCTCCTCTCATGTCTTCATCATACCTCTCATAATGCCGCTTCCGTCCCATTGGTTCATCTCCGTCCCCGACGTCTGCTTGGCTGCGATGTCCAAACTGTGTTGATGTCATGAATGGCAGGGGACAGAACGTGGAACTCTCAGGTTACCCCGGCGAGGGGAGCGCACGTAGGGGATGAGGCTCGAGTGCATTTGTTCAAGAAAGCAATGAGAAGTGATGACATCAAACGAGTGCGGTCGATGTAGAATAATTGGGATCTTTTACGTGTGTATTTCTGAAACTGCGGTCGTGTGAAAATGAATTGGCGCGGACATCGTGGGCCGATCGACTGGATATGTTTTGTGTGCGCGTGCGTGCGTGCGTGAGGCAGTGGGCACAGTAACCACATGACGACCCCGACGTGACCCCTGAGAAGCGTGTAGGCGCCGGGTTCAGTCTGACTCTTGTCACATGATCCCCTGATGCCCCCCACCCCCCCACCCCCATCAACCTCACCATTATTCACAATGGAGTATTAATCCGAACAACACGTACACGCACGTATACACACACACAGCTTCACACACATTCTCTGCAAGGAAATATGATCAAATAAAATAATAATAGCGACTCATCATTGATGCAGGCAGCGCGACGGATGAGTGGCTCTGGTATTCCTGTGTGGCGTTTGTGTGTTCTTCTCTTGCTTTGTGGGGGGGGGGGGTAACTACGGAATTCGACCTCATTCCCTAAACATGCATGTTAGGTTAATTGAAAGCTCTAAAGAGTCCATCGGTGTGCAGGTGAGTATGAATGGTTCTCTTGTGTTCCGGGATTGACGGGCAACCAGTCCAGGGTGTGCTCCGCCTCCCAACCAAAGTCAACCAGGATCCTTCTTTGGAGTGCTGTGCAATCGGTGACCTTTGGTAGAAATTGAGCTCAGGCAGCAATCATGTCATCAGTGAAGGACTATGCTTGTGTCCGCTGACTGTTTTCTCCTCCAAGGATTAGCCGGGTGAAGAGAAGGATGAGATGGCCCGGAATGGAGTTTGTGTTCCTTCTTGTAATGAGGTGGAGACCACCAGAGACTGCTGAGGTGTTTGAACAAAAGGTGGATGGATTACAGAACATGCAGAGGACCTTGAGCAAAGACCGACATCGTACAAGGTGGAAAAAATATTCCTCAGTCGAGTCGAACAGGGTTCAAGTATGTAAATGTGGGTGGGACAAGGCTTTCGTTTGTTGAATTATGATTTAATAGCACAATATTTCACTGCACCTTAGTGTGATGCAAACGAAATGAAATCGAGCAGATTTAGAGTGATTTTACTCACGTGGGTCCACAACTTTTTTTTTTTAAACGTAGCTAAAGTGCTCCTCTGGTACTGATTAATGTGAGAGGCTACCAGTTGGGCTTTTTTTTAGTCCTTCGTAGCCCTGCTCTGTGTCAGACCTTGAAATATAATTAGCTGTTTATTAACGTGGTAAAAGAAAGACCATGTTACTTATGTATGTTATTGGTAAGTGCAATGCCTCCTTAACTAGTGACATCTTGGTAACAGATTGTTTGGATATAATCCTGTGATTGCATATTAGCTTAGAATCTTCAATTAAACAGTGTGCACATAGAGTCTTCCTCCTATGTTTTCCTCTCTCCCACAAGTGAGGCCGCTGGCATGTCTGAATCCTTGGACCGCGTGCGCCGACTCCACCCTAAATTCCCGGAACCGAATTTTACGGATCCCCGTCCGCTCTTACTTGCGGCGCATCTTAGCGGCTAGGTAAGTGTGTCTTTGTCTCTGATCTAATCGACGATGCGGCTTGCGCGAGTGCTTGCTCACGGCGTCAGATCAGATCAGCATTACTCCAGATGCAGCGATACGGTTTTCCTTTTCAGATGGTGCAGATACACCTGAGCGGCAAAAGAAAGACTGCATCTATCCACGATGTAAATATTAGATTTATTGAGTATTCCCAAAGGCTAGTTTTAAATGATTTCTGTTTATCCTCATATGGGGACATTTGCATGGACCTAATATAGATGCGGGCGGCCCGGTGGTCCAGTGGTTAGTGCATCGACCTCACAGTGCAGAGGTCGTGGGTTCAATCCCAGCTGCGGCCTTCCTCTGTTTGCATGTTCTCCCCGTGCTTGCGTGGGTTTTCTCCGGGTATTCCGGTTTCACTCTAAATTGTCCCTCGGTGTGAGTGTGAGCACGAATGGTTATGGACAACAAACCATTTGCGAGTGTACCCCGCGTACTGTCCGGAGACAGCTGGGATAGGTTCCAGCACGCCCGCAACCCTCGTGAGGAAACGCGGATCAGAAAATGGATGGAAAAGCTGATTAGAGGGCAGTAGTCATTACTCGATGAAGTAGTGTATAAAAAAATGAGGATGAGGTTTCGGGACCACAAACTCTGTCTCTCAATCCACAGTGATTGCGCTGCTGCTTCTACATTGGCTCAAGGCGACGGTTCGTGGAAGGAAGTATTCTCTGAAATAACAATAAAACGTACAGCGTGAGGGTGGAAATGATCAGTTTGATCATGTGTGCGACACAAAGGAGCAAGTATAGAGGAGCTCGGTGGCTATCCATTCATTCTTGACGACAAGCTGAGTGATTGTGTGAAATGTGTCATATACAGGTAGTTGGAAGAAAAAAAAAACGGGATAGGCAGAGAGCATTTCTTACTGTTTTTGCATTGTTTGGATTTCCTGTATCGGAATAAGACAGCAGGTGAAGTCCTGCAGTGATTTGTGTCTCAACCAAGGCTCTCAATTGCAGGTGACAAAACATCCTCCCCGATATCACCGCCGTAAAGAGCACAATACAACAGGGTGTTGTTGGTCAGCGCAACAATGGCATCGAAATGAAAGATGTGACCAATCCGGTGTGGACACCTGAAGAGGGAGGAGGAGCTTCCAGTGGGTTATTTACAGCAGCAGGAGAGGCTACAGGTGAGAAGGCTCCACGTCTGTCTTTTTCTTTTATCGCCAGTCTTTCTCCTCTCGCCGCTCACGTCGACGTCTCCGGTTTCCTTTGGCCCCGTTTTCATCACTCGGCACCTCGCCCCCCCCCCGCCTTGCGTGTGTGAAAGTTGTTGTCTCATCTTCACACAGCGCTGTTTCTCTCGCGGAGGCTTTGCGTTCCCTTGATGTTCAAATGTCATAAAAACGGTGATTAGGATTTCACGATGCCTGATGTATAAAATATATTGAGCTATGTCAGAGATATGGAGGGGTTACGGTGACATGCAGTTTGCAAATTATATACAGTGTATATATACAAAAAAAAAAAGCAATAAAAGGGAGAGGAAATGAAAAGCAGCTTGATGGTGGACGATGATAAGTCATGCAGCTGTCACAAAGGCAGTCGGCTCCAAGTGAAGGAGGAGGATGCCGCGGCTCGATACTTGCCATCAGAAATCATGGATTTGTATGCAAATGTGCGTGTGTTCCAACGTGTGCTTTTGACACCCACGACGATGCGTTTACCAGCTCAGTGTAGCGATAGATATTTAGCATGATTAACTAGACACTGTCACGGATTTTCCCGATCACTTATTAAAACCAACCACAAGAGCACAAACCTCCACGCGTGTGGTTGTTGTCTACTCCTTTTATGAACAGCCTGTTTCGAATTACAATTGCACCACATTGTACAGTTCAGTTCAGCTGTCCACGACAAGGTTTAGCATTGTGATTATCATCTCGTCTCATCATACGAGAGCGACGCAATGTTAACCTGACAAGCAGCTCAACAAAGACCGCGGCACGCTAAACAAAGGACAACAATGGAGGACATTCAACATTTCGAGATTCTTTCTCCTCGGCATGCGGCTTGTTAACTAGTAGACGAGCTTTTGTGGGAGGAGCGGTGTTCTTTTGTGGTCTTTCAATCGCATTTATGTTGAAGATTGTGTCAATCAATCGAGCACGTTTCGAGCTCCCCCCTTTTGGAATTCCACGTATGCGGTTGTCTTGACTTACAAGTTTTGAAGGTACAAGCTGCCGTTGGTAAATGTTTTGCTTTGTGTTGATCGGTGAAAAATAAAACCCCGAAGCATTTAAGGTACTGGAATGCACTCACAAGTGGACAAGGAGACAACAACAAAAAATAAAAATAAAAATACACAATGAGACCACTCACAGGGAGCTGTTGTTGTGGAGATGTACATACGCAGACAAAGTAACTCCGGGTCCTGATGTCACTCACTTGGCCACGCCCCTTAAAGACACACATCAACACATACAAATTGTACCACCGTACGTTGAGTAATTAAGAATAAGAATAATAAGAATAAGAAAACCTTTATGCGTCTCACAATGGAGAAATTCCCAATTTACAGCAGCAAAGTTATGACAGGAAGAAAGTAGAAGAACAAAAAGTATAGGAGCTGCTGTCAAGGCAGCCTCTCTCGCAGCGCCATCTTGAAGTCATAATAACATCATAGCAAAATAATACAACACAACAAAAATTGCACTTTATAAAACCAGTTCTTTTTTCTTTTTTTTAACACTCTTTTATTCTGGTACAGTGAGTGCCATTTTTATTACTCAACTTTATTTCTACAGTACTTGAACCACAAATGCGTCTGTAACAGAGGGCTGTACATCTAACACCAAAGACAATATTTAAAATAATAATAATAATCATAATAATACAATGAGAAAAAGATATTTAAAATGTAATTAAAACAAACAAAAGCTCCCTTTACATTGCTATTTAGCATCGCGGCCATGGAGTGTTTTAGAGTTTGCTACCAGCTGAGTTCTAAAGTAAACAACTGTAGTTTTCTAACAGCCGATAGTTCGTCCTTTGGTGGATCAGAATAATTGATTGGTTGATTGTTCCATTGAGTCATTTCTCTTGCTTCACTTCATTTTAATTCATTTTCACGGCTGCTAATTACAATTAGCAACAAAAAAAGTCCTTTTTTTGTGGGGGGGGGGGGCCAGAATGGATTCATGGTTTTTCAATTAATGACTTTTGGGGGAAACATGATTGAACCCTTTCATGCACCCTGTAACCTGATAACATGATTAGCTGTCCACTGTTGTAAACGCCGTCCCTGAAAGGGTTAATATGAGGCAATTTAACTTTCAACTGAAAGCTATTACGGTTCTGTGTTTTGGTACCATTTGTAACATTGGAACGACATGAATCCAGGATCGCTGAAGGAACATCTCTTTAGCGGCCTAGATAGCCTCCCGCTCAGATTTCCTGAGGGCTGAGCCTTGGGCTTTTTGTCAACTGTGTTATAAGATAGTGGGCCAAGACGCCCAGTCCCAGGGGCTCTCTCTCTCTCTCTCACACACACACACACACACACACACACACACACACACACACACACACACACACACACACACACACACGAGGACTTTGGCCTCGCGCACCGGCTCCCTCTGTGAGTGACCCTCCCTCCTCCTCCTGTCAGCGGTGCAAGCGGCAGGAGAAAAGAGGTCATTGTTCCGAGACAAGAGGGATGAATTTGTCTGCCCCAGACAAGTGAAGAAAAGCAGTCTGAAAGGGACTTGTCAGTGGTTGTGGCTCAGGTGGTAGGGGAGTGTCCCACTTTCCAGTGGGAATGCCGCAATGTCAACTTCTTCCGTGACTGTACTCTCATGTCCAGTTCGGAGGAGGCATAAAGCAGGTCCGGTACGGTCCGAAGACCTGAGCAGAACTTTTATGGCGATGGCATTGACTGGATGGATGGTTTCAAGTTTGTCATGAAGACTGTCGGATTTCTTAATTCACTCTCGTGTGTGCCACCTGTGAGAATCGAGTATGTCACTGGGTCTCTGTAGATATTAAAGTTCTGAGTATTCATCCTTCCTGTAGGACTCTCTTCGTAAAGCTTTCTTTTGGTTGCCCTTTGTTGTTGTAGTTGTTGTTGTGAGGGTTTTGGTATTACTGTATTCAGATCCCAGCAAAGACTTAACCTTTGTGTATGGCGCCCAAATGTCACTGAAACTCGGCCCAGTTTGTGCGGTTACCTTCACCGGCGTTTTAGAGTCTGCCGTCGGACATGAAACGGTTACTTTATGGTTGGGCTTGGACCATAATTACCCAGGGGAAGCGATACGGATATTCGAGAAATCAAGGGTCATTTGGTCATCTCGGTATAGTAATTGTTCCTGACCACTCCCTTTTCCTCTTCCGGAGTACATTCTCACTACTAATTCACCACGATAACAAGCTGCTGTGTTTGAATCAGACTATTTTAGCATTTGTGAGCAGTGCAAAAGTTTCCCAAGTCCCAGTGACAAATATTGCTTTCTGTTAAACAACCATGGTAAAGTGCGTGACAAAAAAAAATAACCCTATCAGCCCAAGTCTCACAACAGAGCGATTCAACAAGAGTGATTCAAAGAAAGAGAGACTTACTGTTGCAAGAAAACACACCAGCTGACATGCTGGAGACGCGTGACTTGAAGACCAGCTTTCTAACAAGAGTCACTTTTCTCTCCTTAGTTTAAAGTCTGTTTGCCTCAGATGAACTTGATTCAAATAGGAATAAGTAGCCTCGAGGTCCTGAAAATATGATGTGCACTTTTTCTGTCAGAACCATATTTTGCCAAGGCAGCTCAAGTAAGATTCTAGACTTCAGTTCTGTTTTTTTCTGGAGCTTTGGCCAATCCTGAGCATTGTCATCTTGAAATTCGGGACTTGTGTTTCTCTGGTTTTTGTCTACTGAATCCTTCCGGAGATTCCGAACGTTTCTCAGCTCAATACGATGTGGCATTGCCTTCAAAGATTATAATCGCTATGTTATGTGAAAGGTTTTTCACATTGAGTCTTTCAAATTGGGGGAAAAAAAAAAAACAAAACACCCCCACCCCCTTCTTTCATCTGTTATCATTTCATCACTTTTCTTCTGCTAGTTCACTCCTCTAAACTCACCTCTGGCTTTGTCTTGGAGTTCCGTAATTAAGTTAGCTAAAAAAGCAAACGGAACGAACAGGGAGGATGTGTGTACAAAGTTGGAAGTTGGAAAGACGCGGTTTGCTTATGAGCTGATTTACAATGGCCACCCAGTCCCAAAGTTACTCTTTCCATTCTTTCTCAATCTTTATGGGAAGTGCCTCCTTGTTTTGCTTTGTCGTGTTTTCAGGGAGGACGTGACATTTTAAATGTGTCTCTGAATAATTCCGAGAGCCTTGTGGGAGGGCCCAGAAGAAAGACGGAATAAGTGCTTCCAGGGTCAAGGGTCGGGGAAATCATGAAGGGCGGCCGTGCGCTGCACTCGGGTTGACCCGTGTCATCATACAAGCATCCCAACAGGACTTGCGTGTTTGGTCCATTTGTCTCATTTGTTTGTGCTTGTATTTAAGGGGGTTTTATAGCTTTTTGCCTGATTTTTTTATTGTGAGATTATTAGCATTGCCAGAATTAAATGGAAGTATTAACCCTTTTATGCACCATTCATGTAACCTGATAGCATGATAAACTGGAGTAACCGCTGTCTCTGAAAGGGTTAAAACACGCACACACACGCCCGGAATACAGATCGTAGCTTTATTTGTATAGTGTTCAAATTGTGTGCTTGTAACATAACGTCTGGCCCCAAATTATATCCATCCAGTTTTGCAGAAGTTACGACTTTTTGTGGTGACAGTTGACAGTTCATTCTTGCTGACCTTATAATTTGGTTCAAGGGTTTTTGGTACTTATACTCAATAATTGACAGTTGCAGGATGTTCAGTGGGATACAATGTGGTCGTTAACTGGGCATTTGGGGTTTTTGTGGTGTTGTTGATGATGCAGGATTATGAGTCGTCGATCCAGTAACATTATTATAGATGACCTATAGTTTCCCTTGTTATTTTTTTTTAAATACTAGTGGCACAGCTTGGCTTGATACAGTCTTCTTAAACAAATGTGTTCCCCCTGAAATATCACACATTTCCATCTGAAGAATATGTATGTAACGATGAAGTCTAAAGTGGCAAATAGAAGGAGACGATACGTTCCAAGTTGATATCTTTATTTCATATGAGTATAAATGATGACCAAGTCAGAAGAAAGCGCTTTAGCTAAAAATATAGTCGTAACTGGGACAACAGTGTTCATAAGACAGTATCATCAAGGAACAAAGCAGTGAAAATAAATTATCTGCATAGCAATAATTATAATAACAATAATTACAATTAACAGTTTCAAATTATAAATCAAAAAGCTTTTTTTTTGTTTGTTTCCTTGCTTTTTTTGCGTGTAATTTTCTGTGATGGCAAAAAAAAAAAAAAAAAAAGAAATCCAGCATATTTTTATTTAATGTATTGGAGGAGATTGGTTCACCGCCCTCTTCTGTACAATATTCACAGTTCCTATAAACATACCCGCACAAACTGAACCACAATGCAGTCCTGTCAATCCGTTGGAAGTTAGCAATGACAAAGCTGTATTATTGTGTGTGTGTGTGTGCGTGTGTGTGTGTGTGTGTGTGTGTGTGTGTGTGTGTGTGTGTGTGTGTGTGTGTGTGTGTATTGGGTTGACAGGAAGTACGTCTGTCTGCCTCTATGAAGCGTTAGGTACCTAGAGATTGGCCTCATTTTGCCCAACATACCGTTTGCATAAACAATCAGAAGACCCTCAAATGTCTTGACGTTGTGTCGTCCAGCTTGATCCGCCTCAGCCCATGGCCGTCACCATATTGGAATGGTGCGGGTGGCCAAAGGACGGGTGTATCGGGGTGGGAGTGGGCAGCATGTGTCCGGCGTGGCTGAAAGGTGGCAAGTGGCCCATGGACATGTGTCCTGCCAGGGAGCTGAAGGTCGAGTTCTTGTCATGAAGACTCTTGGTAAACTCCTCGTAACTGTCGCTGCCGCGCTTGATCTTTTTGGACTTGCTGGACATTTTCCTGTTTCGCGTCTGTATCCCTTCTTTTTTCATGGTCAGGGGTCGGTTCACCTGTGAGGGTGAAAGGGAGGTTTTGTTAGTGGTGGAGTTACAGTTCGGAGGTTAAAAAAAAAAAAGAATAAATTATCCACGCCAACAAGACTCGCTTCAAAAACTAAATGGAGACATGCCCCAATTCGGTGATGGCTATGTTATCAACCAAATGAAATACAGTACCGCTCTTTTCCCATCAGATAAAAAGACTATTTTACAGGCAATATTTTTCACACACCAATATTAAGTAGTGAACAGCAGAGCCCATTTGTACTCTGTTGCTAACCAAAACAGCAGTACCAAAGCAACCAGTATTTCAGTTTGATAAAAGCATGAACTTCTGTCACAGCCATGCCAACCCCTGAGCCACACAATCTGTCATGTTTGTGGCAGATTTAACCAATCAAAAATGCCATGTCGGATTACGTTCGCTTTCACAGCAGAAACAAACGTATTTTTATTTGTTATTTTAGTTTATACATGATCCGGCTCTCCACCAACAACCCCAACCAATACAGTGTAAATGTATAATGTGCTTTACAGTAATACCTAACCATATTTCAAATTTCATTTGGCTAAAAAGCGAAGCGTAGAGCGTCTCGGTCATCAAAATGCACAATAACTTTTACAAACAAGTCATTAAGTTAGTTCCCGTCCTTATTATCTTAATATACAGTTGCAACGATTGAAATGAATCGATGATCAAATTAATCGATAATTATTTTGTATTCATCGTTTAGATACCTTTTTTTTATTTAAAATTGTCCAAACCCTGGGATCAACATTTTTTGCTAATTTTCAAACATGTTACGAATCAAACCAGTGACTGAACTGAATACATTTTTGTTTGTGCATTTTCTGCACTGCCAATTTGAAACGATGTCCTGTTTTTTAAAAAAATGAATGGAAATTTTATATATATATATATATTTAATCAGATTCACCATTTAATAAAAAAAATAAAAAAACATAAATTATCGATTATCAAAATATTCCTTAGTTGGAGCCCCTAATTTCATCCCTGATTTATGTTTTTTTTTTAAGGATTTAATTACCTCACTGAATAACAGATGTCTTTCCTCTTCTTTGTATTATCGTGTAGCAACTGCGTCCAGGGAAATCAAATTCTGAACAATAAAAATATATATGTGGCTCTTCAAAACAAACGTTTGTTAATTTGTGGGGATCGATCAACTGGTGTGTGGGTGTGTGTTGCACCCCCCACCCCACCCCCCATGAGTGGCCACTGAGGTCGTGTTTGGCTGCATCACTCTGTATGGAGGGGGTCCCAAGTGTTACTTTTGAAACAAACATCACTTGGCGCATCTCTTGATAATATGCAGCCCGAGTCGCTGTGGTGAATTTAGACGTCGCCCGTCTTAATGCTATTCATACCGATCTCGGCCTTGTGGTTTCACTCAATAGCAGTCGCACCATTGTGACTCTCAGGGGAATAACCATGGAAACAATAAAGCACAAAAGGCGGACGGAGCGGCCTCAAATCCACGCAGTGTGTGCGCGGGTCAAACGACTCTCACTCTCCGCTCGCTGCCTTCTTTTGCCTCAACAATCAGTGAAACCTGCCCGGCTCACTTCCCGACTACTAGACCCTGTCAGCTTTGTGCGGGCCCAACCTGGCGATCAGCACTCTGAGACTTACATTATGCAGCTTGTAATAGAGGCCGCAGGCGTTGCACACTGGATCTCCATTAGCGTTGCGCCGCCAGAGCGTGGTGGTGGTCGTCTGGCAGTTAGCGCAACAGGTGCCTGCTCGTCTGGCTGCCGACTGCAACGAGACATGAGTTAACGCCGTTGTCAAATGCTCACACATGCAATTCAACAGTACATGGCATCTTTTAATCTCGAAACGTTTTTTTTTTTTTTTTTTGTGAGGATGCAAATGTAACGTTACCTGTTACTATTTCATCCATCATTTGTGTTTGTTTGCAGGATTAAATGACATCGCGGATGCCCATAAAACTTGTGAAAGTGAGCCGTGAGCCAAGCAGGAACCCCCTGGCTGCATTTTGGTACGGATCGAGATAATGGTGTTGATTAAAAGCTTCTTACTTTTGTAGGGAATCACACGAAATCTTAGTGACAAGGCATACGAAGACGGTGGTGTAAACGTATGCATCCAAATTACAATTGCTTTGCCTTGGCTGCGGTTGCATTCCCGCAAGCATTTTGACGATACGGATGCTGAAACTAAAATGGTCAAATCATTATTTACCATTGGTGCCAGTCTATTTTTGCAAATGATCAAAAACACACCAAATTTTTCTTTTTGTTGTTGTTGGGCGAACCCAACATTTCAAGTCAACAAACGTCGATAATATTTTAAGTTGGGGAGCTCAACAAAATATTTTAAGTTTTGCGAATGTGAAAATTGGCATGCCTGTATAAGACTGTACAGAACTATTTGTCTTTTGTATTGTTCCCCCAACTCAAAGATAGAATTACAAACAATTCAGCAAATGAATTTTGAAGCAAACAACCTTTGACTGGTTTGTTGTGCTGATTTCTTGCCATCAATTCAATCTTTTAACAAAGTTCCAATTCAAGTGACTGTTTTAGTCCCCAAAAATACAAGTTGTGTTTTTTTACAGTGTATGATCCAGAATTTTCTCTTTAAAATACTCAATTTATTCATATGCATAGACCTCCTTTGCCCTCTTTTTTATTGCCGAAACTATACCCATGAATTATAAATATACAGGTTCAGTTCAATATCCACCATGTATAAAGGAAGTCAATATTTTGAAAAACGGCACAACAGCACTCATTGTGTTTTGCAACTTTCCTAATCTTCCACCCATTCGTTTGAAACAGTGCTTTTTGCGCCACGGAAAACACTGGAGTGCTTGACCACTCCAAAAAAAAAAAAATGAGGTCCGACTCTATTTAGGAGGTGGAGGGAGGAAACAGACGTTGGGCCTGCCGCTTTATCTGGACTGGTCAGATATCCGGATAGGAAACAAACTGAAAGGCTGCGCCACCGAACACAAGAGTCACTGCTGAGCCATATGGAAACCGAGCCTGATATATGGGTCCTATACGCTATTATTGATAAAACATGTTGAAGTCATCTATTTTGCATCAATCACAAAGCTGTTTTCATCCAAAGATTTTACGATATGTGGTCTACATGTGCGCAGCCGCATAATTTTGATCGATGCAAGTCAATAAACAAATGGGTGTCACGCCTGATTCCCACCGATTGACAATTCTCACTCGGCTATTTTTTTTTTTTTCGTGCCGTAGATTTTCAAATTGTTTGGATCATTGATAAACGGGTTGTTGCTTGTTCCATCAAGGTGATAGTTTATCACAATCAAGCCGCACCTAAAAAAAAATACGACCAACATAAAATACTGTAAAAAATACTGCCCAAATGTTCATCAAAAATAAGGCAGATTTGAACAAGAAGGCTTTTTTTTAGTGCACTAAAAAAAAATTAGGATTAAATCAAAACAGAGAGCACACGTTAAATTAAAAAAAAGAATAAATGTCAAAAAATAACAGTTCTAAATTATACAATTCACATTCTATGTTTTAAAGTTAAATACAACTGAATTGTACTAGCTTGAAAAAAATTTAAATGTCAAACCACTGTACCAATACTGTATAGACATTTTGATTAAATTCTATGTTTTTTTTTTTCACATACCATCAGTGATATTCATCACAAATTTGGGGAATTATGGGTCCACAACACATTTGGCTCCACCATTGAATGTTTTCTTCTAAACTTCCGTATTAGTTGAATTCCTGAACCATGGCTTGTTGTTTTTGACATTGTCTTAACATGTTTTCTTTCTTTTCCAAACAACGTATGCGACCTTGGCCAAAGCTGCACGGACTCTCGACGCGAGCCTTCTCATAAAACCGCAGCAAGATGAGCTCATGATGTCATATTAAAAGCAAGCTCCCGCTTGGCCGTTTTTGAGGTGCGCTATCAGCAACACTATCAGAAGTAGCAGTAATAATGATAGCAGAAACAAGCAGCAAGGTCCCGCTCGCCTGACATCGTGAGCTGGAGGAGCAAGAGGTGAACTCTAGACACAATTCCTGGAAACTCTTTGGGAAAATATAACTTTCCTGGAATTGTGTTCTCCCTCCCCCCCTCTCAAGTCAACGCTCGTATTTACTACTCCCACAATGCAAACACGGCAGGGACTAACCAGTCTGCGTTTGGGCTTGATGAGTGGTCGGTTCTGGCCGTTCATCTTGTGGTACAGCCCGCAGGCATTGCACAGGTAGTGTCCGGTGCTGTCCCGTCTCCACAAAGGCGTGGATGTGGCGCCGCAGTTCACACACTCTCGGCCCTCTGAACGAAACACGCACACACACACACACACACACACACACCGACATTTATCATGAGGATCAAAATACAACACGTGTAAAGGGGATTTTTGTGCATTTTTTTTCCCCTCCCCTTAACGCAAAACTAAAGCTCAACCTGCACCTTCAGTCACACATCAAAGATTATTTGTGCTGATTATGGACCTGTGGGTTGAATAATAAATAAATAACTGATGTACTATAGCTTTTTTGCCATCATGTTTTCAAAATGTAAGAATTGTAAATGCAAATGATTGCAGAAATCACATGATAAATGCATTGTGATGTTGTAGTTAAGCACTCATAAAGAACAACTGTGTGACATCTATTATAACTGTTAAACGCTCTCAAGTAATAATGCGGAACAATATGTCATGGTATTATGAATACAGGCTCATTTAAAGCGAAATATTTTAGGTTTTGGCGACGTTGTGTCTACCAGATCTTGGATGCAGTTGAGCTGAAGCCAGCTCAGAAGTAATTACAGAGTCACGGTTAACAAAAGAGGATTATTGTCACTGTGTTCAGCGATGAGTGCAGCCTTGCTTGATAACCATTTCTTTTCTTTTTCAAGAAAGACTCTTATTGTTATTTTTTTCTAATTTAAGAAATGGCATATTAATTTTACTGCCAAAGACTGGCAGCATTTAAAATCAAGAGTCACTAAAATTAAGAAATAAGGCTCTATTCAACTGTCGCAAATTGATTTAATGGACTGTTAGTAATGGTAAATAATAGGGCTTAAATAACACAACAATCCTGTCTGGCTTTTGGCAATAATTGTGCTCATCAACAAATCTGTCATTTATTCAGCTTTTTTATTTTTGAACCATATAATTGAAGAAGCTTTTTTTTACTGTCTTAACACTATATTCTTTACAAGACACTCGTCATAGAAAATGAAACAAAATGTCAAATAATGATGCTTTAGGCATATTTGCGTTTCTTCTAAATTCAAATGATGGCAATTGAAAGCTATTAATAAATATTAACTACAACGTCGCATTTCCCACCTCGATGTGATTTCATGTTAATATTCACACATATACCAAGTAGTCGCTTTTAAATGTGTAATATATGAATAATTATCTCATGCAAATCCAGCGCCGCTATATTTCCAGGGGAACTCACCGGTGCAGGACCGAGTCTTGCCTTTGCTCTTGCTGCTGAAGCCGGGCGAAGCCCCGAGGAGGCTGCCCGGGTGAAACAGGCTGCCGCCGTACTCGTGAGCGGCAGGCAGCGAGTAGGTGGGATACGTCGCTAAGGGGTGATGGGTGGAAGCGCTCTGAGCACCCATTGGGGCCAGACCGCTTCTCATCGGGCTCGAACCCTCCATCTTCATCCCTTCCGAAAACGAAACGTGGTATTTAATACATTCCTTCTCGTCCATTCTCGGCGAGGCGGCCCCCGGGTCCGGCGAGACGTCCTTCGGCGGCGTCGGGGGGAAAGTGTACAGGTGCGGGCTGGAGTGGGACGGCGGTGTGAGCGAGCTTGCGGAGGCCGCGGTCGACGTGCTGCTGCACGGGTAGACCGCCGACAGGCCTCCGGGGGACGCCGAGCCCGGGTGGTGCAGGCTCGGCTTGCTGAAGGGGCTCACGGCCCACGCGTTGTGGTGGTGGGCCGACAGAGCCGCTTTGCTCCCGTCCAGCCATGAGATCCCCGGGCTGTGGATGAGATGGGGCCGGCACACCTGTGTCCCCGTCAGGCGAGCTGTCAGGGAAGGCAAAGTGGAGGTGACAACAGGCCCACTGAGAAGAATGGCGATAAAACGTTACGTCGAACCAAACTTCCACCACTGAATTTGGTAATCTTTGAATTTTCCCCATTTAACTGTTAATATGCGATACGTGGCAACGGGAAATTACTTGAGCAAATTTCTGGCTAAAACGTCACAGACTCCGTTTTGCATCTACAACCTACCGTGCGCCGGGCTGTACACTCTGGCCCTGGCAGGGTTGTGGTAGTACGGGTTTCCCTGAGAGTCCAGGTGGTTAAAGAAGACATCCACTTCGTCCGGGGGCAGCAGCTGGGTCGAAGTCTCCATGTAGTTGTGGCCCAGGCTGGGATGGTGCGAGTCCGGGTGCTGGCCGTTCAGCACGGCGTGGGGGTGCATCCAACGGGGCTGATCAGCCGCCACATCCATCTTCTGCTTGCTTCGCTGGCGTTCGATTATTATTATTATTATTATTATTATTTTATAGGATAGACAGATATATCCAAGGGGGCGGAAAAACACACAATTGTGGAGAAAATATGCCCTTTGGCACCGTTCTCCTTCAAAAGATCTTCACAATGGCCATTTGCAGTGAAGCACTAATTTTGTTTGCTGTCATCCGAATTCAGTTCAACTCCTCTCTTGCACATGGAGTTCAAACCTGGAGTAAAGAAATGCAAATATGAACATTAAAAAAAACATGCATGAGCACCATTTGACCATTATAAGTGAACTCACGTGGACGAACTGTACTTTTATCCTCGGCGTCCTTCAGGTGCTGTCCGTGTGCGGTTATGCTGCTCGCGTTCGAGTGTATGTCAAGACGAGACTCCGTCAGTCCACTGGGACTTGAAGCAACACGTAACTGCGTCTGCCTGCCTCACAGTCAGCAGCCACCATTGTCAAGCTGTGGGCGGAGTCACCAAGGAAAGGCTTCTTCTTGGCCAATGAGAGGCCAGGGCAGAAGATAGGAGGCGGGCTTCCGGACAGAACACTCTTCAAGGTATTTTAGATTATCTCCAATTGTATGCTTGGTTTTAAGAGCTCTGGTTTGATTTGAAATTATTCGTGGGCAGTCATTCATAGTGGTGGGGAAGTTTTTTTTGGTGATAATTTCCGTCTTTTTTTTTTTTACAGTTAAAAAGACAGCCCAGGCCCATAAAATATTTTATTGTTATTCTTATGGTCAATTTATTACTTTTCGAATTCTGGAAATCACACAAAAACATGCAGCTAAATTCGGATATTTCGCATTAAGGAAAAAGATACATTTCAGAATGCTTCACTCATCGCCACGCTCTGTCTCGCGTCGCAAAGTGTTGTTACGTGTGCGTGTACGTGCGCGAGTGTACTAGCGCGTGTGTTGGTCCTCCCTCGCGCGTGATTGACAGACAAAAATTGAAGAGGGAGCGCGTGCAGCCCTGGAAATCCACACTGCCGCCTGCTTGACGCCGTTGGCTGTCGTCATTGCATTGGAGGGAAGGGAAAACAAACTAATTCAGGACATGATTTTTATTTATTTATTTTTCTTCTTTTAATTCTCAACTGCAAGAGAGACGGGGAGAAGAAGAGGTGACATAGACAGCAGATGAACTTCAGGAAGTTAAATTTACTCTGTGGCAGCTTTTATTAGACGTCAAATCCACTTTCTTTTATTTCATTTCGAGGAAACTCCATTGGGCAAACTCAACTTCACTACATCGATTAGATCAGATTAGACGAGATTCGGTTATTCACCAGTGACACCGTCCCCATTGAAACGCGCCTATCAAAGGAACACTTTGTCTTGATTAGTTCACTTGCACTGTGAAAGTCATCGTGTTCCATTCACTCATCAACTGTTGCTACTAGTAATGATGGGACACAATAAATAAACTTCAAAACCAATCAATGATAACTGTGAAAATTATCTCCCAACTAAATATTTCTTCAATTTGTCAAACAGATTTTATATTCAAACATAGTTAATTTCGTTCGATTTTTTTTAACTCACCGTACAAGTTGTTGTCAATATATTTATCCCCCATTGTAAATGATGGGAGCAAAATTTCCAAAAAACGATGGCTGAGTTGCTCTGCGATTGTGACTGTGACAACAGGGCTCGTTCATTTATTTGTTGGTAGTTCTGTAGGCCACCTGGTCGCCCAACCTCATTCCAAATATGATCATATTTGTGTTTTCAGCATTAAAAGTAAGTATATAAACGTTCATTGCATTTAACCGACTGCCATTCACCATCACTTTTTCCAACTGATATGTATAAACTTGAACTAGTTGGAAGTGACACAACAAGGGAGTTCGCATATAGATTTAATGGCCAGCAGCAAAAATAACTAAATAAATAAAATACACACAGCCCTAATTGGTTTACAGTTAAACGGTTGGCATATTATTTTTTTTCTTTATCATCTCCAATAGGGGGATTATTTACTATTTACTGATCCGGGAAAAAAAGCCAAATAGACTGACGTAAACAGAGGAAAGGGAGCTGAGTGGCTTGCGGTATATTAGAGCTCATCAGCATGATAATATGAGCAGACACATGCTTCTCGTGTGAGCCCTTTTGATCCGGCCTGGTGATAAAACCTTATCGGCGACAAACATCCACTTCCATTTTAGGATTTGACATTAATTCAATCCCTCCTCTTCCACGCACCCCCCCCCCACACCCCCTTACGATCCAAGGAGAAAGAGAGGTCTCAACAACGACAATCTTATTATGCAAAGAAACGGAAGTGGCTTTGGCCAGTAAGAAAAGCAAAGCAACGTCGTCATTATTATTATTATTATTATTATTATTATTGTTGTTATTATTATTATTGTGTAATATATTTTTAAACAAATCCTATTATTAGTAGTATTACTAATATATGGTGCCTGTGCAATTTAAAGTGGAGAGCCAAATAAGAAATGAAATGCCATTCGGATCCTTCTAGGTCCTTCTGATTCTAACCCATCCCGGGGTAATTTTTCATCGGTGCAGGCTAATCTTTGTTCTTTGTGAAGATAATAAATAGCCTAATCGTTATCAGCGGGCTGCTGGAGGTGTCGCGGAGAATGAGGAGCGGGTGGGGGGGTTGATCGGCCCGGGAAATAGGCTCCCAAGTGGCGCAGAATAAATGGTATTTCTTATCTCTGGCTCCCAGATTATCGCCGCCTTTTCAAATTGGCACAACAAATACATCTAATGCAGGGAATGCATCATTTGCTGGTCCAGATCTGCGCGGATGATTGATAGATAGACACACAGATAGATGCAAGGAGGGAGAAGCGTGTCAGCTCTTTATTTGCACATTTAACGCTCTGCGTGTGCAAACTCTTTTTTACTGTGTTTAGTGGGCTTCTTTTTCCCCCTTTCTTTTATTTTTAGGTTATCTGTGGCAGCCATCTGAGGTTCCGCTTCTTTGTTGTGGCATCACGAATTTTTATTTCTTTCATGTCGGATTTTACTGGATAAGGGTTAAAGAGACAAAGCCGCTACGACGCTGCTTGGGAAAATATATTTGAATATTACCGAGTTGAAATCTGCGCAGATAGAAAATCTGAACCGCGTGAAGTATTAAGCTGAAACGCTTCTGTTGCAAACGGGCCGCGTTAGGTCTTCGCCACTTAATACTGAAGATTGCGCAACCCTTTTTTTTCCGCAGTTTTGTTTTATCTCGATCTGAATCGTGAGAAAAATAGTTTGAAATCATTTTAAACGATTTTAATATCAAAGTATCGAAGTCCCCTTCAATTTTGACTTAAAGATTTGCGGCAATTGAGTGGAAAAGCGACTGCTTGTGTCTGTTGGCGGGGGATTGACGAAAGTGGGGGCGGAGGGGGGGGCATAGAAATATTTTCCCAAGCCATAAATACAAGCCGGATGCTTTAATAAGTTGGCAACTATAGCAGCCCAGGGTGCTGGTGCTGCTACTGCTGCTGGTCTCCAGGGTAACGCAGATAACGGTGCACTCATTTTCCATATCTTACACTCTTATTATATTCAAGGATTAGTTCTCCTTCCCTCAAAGGTCAAACGTAAAGTCAAGCCAGTCAGGAGTGTTCCTCCTCCTCCTCCTCCTTCCAGTGACAGAGCGTTTCACCTTTTTTTTTTTTAAATTTCCATATTTAAACGTTGCAAAATGACCTTTGCTGACACGGAAATCCCACACAACAATAACACAGCAACATTTCTCTGGATTTATTCTTCACGCATGCCGTGACTGAGTTTGATCTCCCTTTCAATGTTTTCCTCGTCCTAAAATGGAATCGTGTACCGTATGCGTGCATATAGGTGCAAATTCATGCCTTCATGCTGCGTCTTAATTTAAAAGACAGAGGACGGATTCGATCATGCAGCCTATGTAGATACGTCACGCATGAAACCTTCCGTACACGATATGAATTAAGATTTCCAGCGTCACTTTCACGGGCATCTTGATCATCTTAACCTGCAAGTCACCTTCGGAAAAAAATAGTCTTAAATCAGACGTTTTTGAAATCGATCTAAGTTAATGACATTTTGAATCCGGTCATTTGTGATGGAAGTTAGTCAACTGAACAGAAACGACATTGTAGTTGAGCGAGGAATTTAGCCCCTTTGAGCAAGGTCCTCGATTGCCAGATTAGATGCGAGTGGATTGATTCCATGCGGGCCATCCACTCGACTGCCGGTTGGAATAATTGAGTGGGCAGCGCCACCTAGAAGAGAAGCTGGTCCCTTCAACGTGGCACTGTGAAAAGATGTAAAAAAAAAAACAAAACGCATGAACAGTTCAGTACAGGTACTTTTCATGACTACCTTAATGTGACAGTTTGAAAGAAGTTTGCTGATAAACATTTGCAATATGAATCTGATTAACTAATGTAGTAATTATTTGACTCCTGACTTGTAAGGGACATGTAAAATAATAATAATAATAATAATAATCATGATGGCTTTGTAACACCCCAGGAGCAATCCATTCTACCTTAATGTACAATGATGTCCATTTCCCCCCAGTTTTTATATCATCGGTATACACAGAGAACTGTGAGTAAAGTGTACTCTATTTTGGTGTTTAAAATGGGTGTTGCATTGCAAGTTATTTGCACATTTCCCACTGGAAGTTCCACAGACATCCCTAAGCGTTCTCCATCACTGTGAGATGTCTGGAAAATGATCTCTAATGACTAATTAGAGGTCAAAAGGTTTAATTCTTCACTTCCCGCAACAGACTAGCAGGAACTGAGCGTTTACAACACCTTGTCACGAACAACCTGTCAGTCAATGCTGTCCGGGGAGTTAAAGAATTCAAAACAGCTCTCTCCCCGCCACCCTCAACCTCAAAGTCTCTTCACCAAATTCAGACTTTGCACCTTTATTTTGTCTAATTCATTTCCTGTGGGGATACTATGTGTGTGTATGTGGGTGTGAGTGAGTGTGTGTGTGTTTTGTGAGTGTGCCTGTCTCTCTGACAATGTCAGCAAAGTACCAGTGTGTGTTTCATAGCTTGACTTAAAAAAAAATGCTGTTCACCGTAAACTGCATTATTTGAGCTAAATAGTATAATAGTATGATTGCACCATTCTTTTTTTAATGTTTTGAGAAAAAAAAAAAGCAAAACATTAACAAACATGTCGATTCAACCTTTGCTGATTACCATGTTTTAGATGACTGACGATCTACACAGACAAAGAAAAAAAAACTTCATTCGTACATGTGCAGTGTTACATTTTCTTAGTTTCGAAAAAAAACATTGGCAATATGAAATATGCACAGTAATGGAAGTTCAGATTTTGAATTTGGAGTCTAATAGTAAACAATTACATGAGATTGTAATTCAAATGTGTACATTTCTGAACAAAACCATGTCGGTATCATTCACTTTACAGGCAGCTTTAAGCCCATTTCAACATTTTGAACTGTCGTACAACTGTAGAAATAAGGGTGAATATTAAATAGAGAAAGAAAGACTAAAGTGTGTCAACAATTCGGAAGCGTGATCATTTTAAAGTGTCACACAAGTGCCAAAATGTGGGCTGTATATACGATTTCAACAAGTTCCACTGTACGTTGCCATCACTGAAACACAAAGGTTTCTCTCGAAAACCTTTCTATAGATTGGTGTGTGTATGTGTGTGTGTGTGTGTGTGTGTGTGTGTGTGTGTGTGTGTGTGTGCGCGTGTGTGTGCGTGTGTGTGTACACAATATACAAAGTATACAGTATATGCAACCATTGTTTCATTTTTCCGCAAGCTTCTGTGTGTCAAAGCTGACACTGATCCCCAGTCTCGAAATCCTGATTTTCCTCCTCTTGTGCTGCAATGTCTGCTGCTTCGCTTAAGCTCATTCTCAGAGGCAATCCGCCCTTGCCGGTCTCACGCCCCGTGACACGCGCATACAGCGACACTTTCAGCATTCTCTGATCTGCCTCTACATTTGTTATCTCTCTCTCTCTCTCTCTCTCTCTCTCTCTCTCTCTCTCTCTCTCTCTCTCTCTCTCTCCCTTCCTCTGTCTCTCTCTCTCTCCCTTCCTCTGTTCTGCAGCTAACACACGACTGCAATTGTAAACCGACTCACCTCCAAAATTCACCATGATAAATGTTGCTATATATCTTCAAAGACGAGGGGTTCATGTGCCAGAATTGACAATATGTGTATTTGCTTTCTTTTTTTTTTCCATTTTAGAGGACTCTTACTTCTCCCCATGCAAAAAGAAAAAAAATATGACCGGTAATCTTCACCCAGAAACTTACCATGGGAACACTTGCGATGTGTCACCGAAAGGGAGGTGAGTCCCCACAAGGTACAACACGCTGATAAACACACATTTACATACTGTGCTTCATCATTCGTGACATAGGCTACATGGATTATAGTGAGCTGCCTCTGACCTTTCCTCTATTGTGCCCACCGGGAGTTGTTCCTTTGCTTAGAATCTCTCAGTGGGATTCTACAGTTCCCCTCCCCACCAAAACATTGACATTTTAAAAATGTGAAGTCGGTTTCCACATGAACTTGTTTCACTTTGGGCTGCATTCTCTTGAGCTTTTATTGAGATACACGGCAACACGGCGTGGACCAGATTTAAAATAGCTGTCAGTGTGATTGCGTTGTGATTGCACACCATTGAAAAAAAAAAAACAATCAACATATTATGAAACGAATACTTCTCTGAATGTATCAATCACAAATGATCATTGCAACGACATCGTTTTTTGATACAGCTCTTGTAGATTGCTCAGGTGTACCTAATGAACTGTCTGCTCGATGCTGATTGAAGTATCGAGGGTCTCACCATTCTCCGACTACAACAAATGTCAATAAAATCCATAAGAATGTTGTAGAATTAAAAAACAATATCCAGATACTGTACATTTAATGCTTTCAGAAGTCACACATTTCAACATTAAGTGTCTGCTCCCCCACCCTGCAACATCTTCGTGTGCAAAGATAGATTTGACATGAGGCGGAGTGAGGTCTGCAATGCGGTGCCATCTGTGCGCTCCCTCTCTGCCTTACCCCCCCCTCCCACACTCACCCCAACCCTTCACCACATCAGGATACACTTGTTCTGTTGAATTCCGGTTTCAAACGGAACGCTGCCTTGCTTGCTGTGTTGCCTTGCAGGTCTCATGCAAGCAGGTACATGCTGCCTCCCTCTTGGCCCTGTGGTCAGGGGAGGGAGGCCTCTAACGGCCTCTTCCACTCGCACACCTTTTTGAAACTTCGCCTGCTCCCTCTTCCTGCCCCTTGGCCTCACCCCCTCACAGGCAGACCCCCCCGCGCCACCACCCGCTCGCCTCCGACAGAATACACGAGCACCCTTATCACGCTCAGAGCACATGAAACCGTACGATGTTCTCTCTTCTACTCCAGGGCCACTAAGTTCATCACCGTTTCAAATCCTGATGACAAGCGGTCGGGTCAGTGTGCTCGTACTGCAAATGCACTTCTTTTTCCAACGGATAATCTTCCAAGTAGCACCGACAAAACAATATCGTGACATTTGCCTTGAAATGCTGTCCACAGTTCTTGTCTTAGACACGGTGACCTTTTGACATTTGACCTTTAAGTATGGTGCCCCCTCTGTTCAAAATAGACACTACAAGTTTGTTCTCCCGAATCCTGTCGGCATTCTGGAAATGATGTAAACCGCTATTTAAAGAGTAAAATCAAAGCCAAAAAGGTCAATTATATTTCACAGTATTGAGAGCCGACCCAATTGTGACCGTTGCCTCTCACTCACTCACACGTTTTACCTGTTTGATCATATTTATCACATTTGTGGGCATCACGATGCCCTTTCCTTTTCTATTGTTAGTTGTTTTTTCATGCCGTGTTCCTACCTTTTGTGTTTCGCACGGGGAACTTCAAATCAGTGACGAATGATTGGCAAGATTTGACCGTAAAAATACAGCAGTATTTCGATTCGACTTCTGTTGTACAACACTGCCATCTGCTGTTCAATTGGATGTTGTCCTTCGGTGGGATCCGGGCAGTCCTGATGAGTGAGGGCCTCCAAGAACTGATACGTGAAGCTGTAGGATGTCTGTCTTCATATGCCATAATCCTTCTTAATATTGATTCCTCGGTCACGCTGCTCTTTGAAACTCCTTCTAGTTGAATGCATAAAAAGGACACAAATGTGTTGTGAGGTCGGACTTGCAAAGGCTTTCGCAGGATATTTAGTTGCATTTGTTGTCAATAAATCCCTGCAAATTGCACCGAGAACATACGATGAGTTAAAAAATTGTAAATTAAATCTGTGGAAGGCCATATTTGCATCCAAGAAGATAATATTGCTCAGGTACTAAAAATTATTTTGAAGTGATTTGTTATGGTCAACACATAGGTGTGTGTGTGTGTGTGTGTGTGTGTATCTTTTTTTTTTTTAGTATTATTATGTACGACAAATGCACTTTTTTTTCAGACCACCAATTAAAAGAGGCGATAGCTTTGAATGACACTTTGAGAAGATAATTCTCACAAATATTTGCCCCAGGGGGGCACAGAGGTCACTGTCAGTTATTTTATCAGTAGGCCAAAAGTGGTACGAAGATGCGGAAGGTCTCTGTTTTCTCTCTGATATCTGTTTCAGTTAATGGAGGCATTAAAGAATGACACAAGCCACGGGGGGGACTTCCCTTCAGGGAGCTCAGAGCTTCTCAGAGGGATGTGCAAGCTAACCGCTGCCCAGCTCGGGCTTCCGGCTCTGGGGCAAACTTAGCACGGTGGTACCCCTCACAGCTCACAACAGCACCACTATCACCCCACTCCAGACACTGTGCCAGGATACTGTGGTGACACAACTCGGGGCTGCTGTTCCTCCCTTGTCAACAAGACTGATGGATACAGAAAGGATAAGAGGAGATGATAGGAGGACTGATTGATATCTAACGACACCACAGAATAACGGGTACCCAATAAAAAGGTGCGGGGGAGATAAAAAAGACCAAAAAAAAAAAAAAACCTTCAGCAGGCAATTAGAGAGGGAAAACGCCCGTCAACCCAAATCAGATACGATCGACACCGTTTATCGGCACATCATTGACGACTTGGAGAAGATGCAGCGTTTTGTGATTTGCTGCTCCTTGTGAGTTGCGCCATTATCAGTAGTTTCTATACTCAGCAGAGTCTAAAGGTCTAAAGCACCCTAAATTAAACTGGATGTAGATCTATAAGAGGATAAGTCTGTCAGAACAGGACTGATCCATTGCAGTTTCGCATCAGAACAATTCTCCAGTATGCTCTTGAGCCACAAGGGGGCAGATTATTATTTTTTTCCTCCCCACTGGTACTGTTTAGTCCCGTAGCAACCAAGAGCAGACTCAAAGAAGATACAGTATGTAATGTGTTTCAGGGTTTTTTTTGTTTTGTTTTTACCTTGATTTCTGTTCGTGTTTCTTTTTTTCCCGATTGGGTGTAAACAAATGGAGATTGTAACGACAAAATCCTTTCGGCTGGTGCATGCACGGCCAGTTAAATGAAGACTCTAAATGATCCGTAGGTATGAGTATGAATGGCTGTTTGTCTAGATGTGCCCTGTGATTGAATGGCAACCAGTCGCCCCCTTTCTCCTAAAATCAGCTACAACCGGCTTAATTTCACCTGAGACCTTCAATACGATAAATGACGAGGAAAAGGAACTGATTGATGGATGCCAATGAAACAAAAAACAACATAACACCATTCAATAACTGCCCTACATTGCATTCTGTGCTCCCGTTTTTTTTCGAACTTTCATCAGGAAAAACTTCATCACCATTAGGTACAAACTGACTATATGCATAGAGACTATTCTATACTGTGCTTTGTAACATACTTTGATCACAAAAACTAATTGTTAAAAAAATATATATATGTTAGCCAATAAAAAGTTCAGAAATTCAAATTTGAGTCCAATAATTGACAAGCATGGACAGAAATGGACTCCCGCTGTATCACTATTTCTGACAGCGTATCTGTTGAGAAGGCAGGTATGTTTTTGTGTGTGCGCGCGCATACGTGCGTGCTTGTATAGTGAAGTACCGATCCAGGTTAGAAGTTGCTCTCCAGAGTGTGTGTCTTTGCACTTCAATCAAAGCCCGCTGAGCCCCCTCGGTTGTTCACAATAGACTCCCGTCCGGATGAAGGGTCTGACAGTTCATCGGGAACCTTGCTAAAATTGGCATAGCCGTTCACACTCTCACTGACCGTATACACATGCACTCACACACATACTCACACGCCTCAAAGGTTTGTGTGAAGACCAGCCAGCGAGGGAGACACTCACTTGATGCCAAAGCAAGTGTAGTTTAGTACGGCCTGCACCAGCAGTGGATATATAAAAAGTCTACACACCCCTGTGTAAATGCCAGGTTTTTACGATATAACATTTCATTGCCTTGTGCCAAAAGAAAATGTGTCTGTCTTTGGTGTCATTGCTGAGATGTGTGTTAACTGAGTTGCAGGCAGACCACAAAGGTCTATGAGCAAGGTTGCGGAATGTTTGTCATCTCTGTGCTGCATGAATGACATGCTGTGAGAGGTGGACGCGAACTCAAGTACCACAGTGGGCTATTTTGAAGTTACATTCAGGAATTTATTTCGACTATCCGAGCATCATTCGTTTATTTCTGTGACATGTCATAACAGTGTTTTTTTCCAAACAGAAAAGTACATGTACTATATATTTCAGATTTGTTTTTCTTAACCCAAAACTTTAAACCCTTCCATTCGCCAATAATGATAACCTGTTACTCGATAATATGATAAGCCGTCCACTGTAGTAACCGCTATCCCTGAAAGGGTTAAAATGCAACTCGCAAACAATTGTCAATGCAATTTTTGTTTCCACTGTGCAGCTCATTTTGAGCGTGACCAATTCCCCCCCCCCAACTTTATGATGAACCCGCAAAGTTCCGTGGTCTCATCTTCATCTCTACTTTCTTGAAGGAGTACCGTTCGCCACTTCGCCCATCAGTCAGGATGTACCACGTCCCCCAGTAGATACCGTTCGTCACACCGCTGTAGCGGCCCCAGTAATAGCGCCCGTTCAAGTTGGCGGCCAGGCAGGCATCAAACCACCAGCCCGCACCATAGTAGTGACCACAGTGTCCGGCAGCATAGCGGTCGTGATCTCTGTCAGTGGTGCTGAAAAATCTGCCGTCGTGGTTGTAACGTTTGCTGTAGCTCAATGCGTTGCCTGCATCGCCAGAATATTCACGGGATGTCAGGCGGTACCTGGAGGAAGCGGAGAACATGGACATTTTAAGGTGATTGTAGAGCTGTGTCAGATGTATTCTTTTAACAATCTTAAATTTCTTATTGTGGTTGCGTCAGTCACGGACTGTGCGTTTGGTGCCTTCGGCAGGGACTCAACAGACTTGATCCACCTCTCAGTGTCACCGCTATCACAGACAATTCTAGGAAACCATCAATAGATTTCTGAAATGCAATCTATCATTTGTGACAACTTAATGTCAATATCGATCTAATAACGTGAGAAAAACATAAACATTGCAAGTGAAGTTCTTGCTTTTCATTGGAAATGCTGATTATTCTACATGCTGTAATAATGTGTGCAGATTATTTATATATGCTTTTGAACATCTTTTTAGAAGTGATTCACAAGTATTCAAATCAGTTCCACAATTTAACACCTCTGATGTCATCAGCAAATAGGACACATTTAAGTCATTTTGAGACGCAGAACATATTATTTAAATACAATATGAATAGTTTTGGGCCTAGCACATACCCCTGGGGAACCCCCATGTGTGATCTTTAATTGTTTTGATTGTATGTTGTTGAATTGCACATACTGCTATCTGTTATCTAAGTAACATTTCATCCCATTTATATGGAAAACTTCTTATGCCATAGCTCTCTTAATTCCATACCTAGGGGGCATCTGACATCAATTCAACATGAATACGACATCAAAATCTAATCTTCAACATTAAATTGATGTCAAATTGATGTCACGTGCCCGCTAGATATGCCATACAGTTTAAGCTATAAAATAAATCTAACATCCGGGGTGCAGTGCAGCCAAGCAGAATAAAAAGGTTAGAATACTATAAATTCATGGAGGAAATATCGGAAGTTGGGTTTTAGAATTATGTCATTCTTCTTAGTGGTAATGAAGACACAAAGATGGGATCGGAACAATAACGTTCTTGTGAGTCTTAGCTCGGAAGCTCCGCCAAAATCTGTTGTGCTTCACCTCTGCGCCTCTGCGGCTACTTTGAAGTTGTTGTAGGTGGCGTGGCGACTCTGCTGGTGCCAGTCCTCCAGCTCTATACGAAGCTGGTGTTGGCCGGTAGACGTGAGCGTGTGCAGTGCCGCGTTGCCCAGCCAGTGTTCCCCTTGCGGATTGCCAAAGCCTTCCCGGTATTCCTGCCATGTCCTGTTGAAGTCCACTGAGCCGTCCTGACGATTCTGGATCACCGTCCACCCGCCTCCCGTCGTCACCATGTCACATTTAGCCTGAGCCAAAACAAAGACTTTGATATTGCAAAGCCGTGGTCTAAAAGAAGCATGGTCCAGAGGGGGGTCCGCATGCGTGTTTAATGGGGGAGGTAGATGTGAAATACCTCCAGTACTGGTCTGCGCGGGTCAGGCTGAATGGTGTAGATACCGTTCTCTTTGATCCCCCGTCTGGAAATCTCTACACAGTCCTGAGGATGCAACCTTTCCAAAGGCGCGACTGACAAGCAGAGTTCAGTTTCATTCCGTGAAGTTGTCAAACTATCACCGCAGTCAACGACAATATTCACGTGACGCGAGGCTTTCGCCTATTCTGTAAATGTACTAGCAGACCTTTTGGTCAAATGAGTTTTTCTTTTCCTATCAGACTTTTGTAAGTGAATGCTGAGAGCTACCATCTTTAACGGTCATTTTGGATTGAAATAGTAGCAAACATATAGTTAGCTGGGTTGCGTAAAACTGCAAATAACTAAAGGATGCATGGGCTAAGGATGAGCCTAATACTTTTTGGATGCAGGTGAGTTTGCATTGAATTCTTTTCGCTGTCTGATCCTTGTATCAATGGAATAGTCGATAAACCATAAGAACCATAATTGCACCACCATAATTTTCACCACCACAGTATTTGCATTTGAGTCTCAGCTGTCACTTGTGCTTTTAAGGTGTCACCTGTCGGAGGATGATGTGTAATGCTCTTCAGGAAAAGAAGCAAGTCTTTCTCCTTCTCTCTTCCCACGGCTGCAGCTTCTGTCAAGGCAGAGACACGTGCGGTTATCAGAGCGCTGCTTCGCTCGTGTCCCGCGTGGAAAAACAACCTTTGTGGCTCCTCGTTCTATGCTAGCTCCTTTTTAAATGTTCCATCATGTCATGAGCCATAAAATCTGTGTCCGTGCACATGTGGGCATTTGTTTCCGTCCTTCCCCATACGGTTAAATTATGATGCACTCACCTACGACTGACACTTAGCAGGCCTCACTGGGGTTCTGTTTACTCTGTGTGGGGGGGTGAGTGCACCAGCATGTGTGTGTTCACCCATTTGTGCGTGTTGTAGAGGAGGGAGGAAGGCGCATATAAACGCACGGCGCTAACCCAGTCGTTTAGCCATGGCCCCGAGGGCTCGGCTGTGACAGTGGAGGTCACACTCTGTCAGCACGGCTGCCATTAGCGCCAGGATGGCCCCCAGAGAGTCGCTGTCCTGGCCAATCCAAGCGCCCCCTGTTTCCTGGACAGACAGCATGCAGCGCTGCAGCTGAACCAGTCGTTCCTTCACACCTTTGTCCTGCAAAGACAAAGTATATATAAATATATATGTCAGTCATTATGTTGCCAAGGTGAATGTGCGAGCGCGAACTGGCATTCAAAACCCGCCGACGAGTGTTTTGTGTCACTCTCAGACTCATCTCTTACACTTACATCAACTGCATCGTCCCTTATCCACCTGTTGTCGCCTGAGCTCGGTACAAAGCAGACAATGAGGACATTTCTGAGGCACAACTACCGTATTGGCGCGAATATAAGACGGCCCTGATTATAAGACGACCCCCTCTTTTTCAAGACTCAAGTTTGAAAAAAAGACTTTTTGAATACCAAATTAATTTTTTAATCTGACACAAATTATTATAACAATATATTTGAGAGAAAAAGCATGTTATTTTGCCTCATTCAAATCATAATATCTGAACATTTAAATATGTAAACTAAAGTGCAATCACATTCATAAATGAATGACTTCTGCCATGGTTTTTGAAATGTAAATTACATCATAACTTCTCCTCAGCTGCTTTCTTCTATTATTTTCTTCTCTTTTTTTTCTTAACGCTACTTTATATGTTGCTTCTTCGTGCTACCGCTATTTTTATTTTTATTCTTCGTGACAGGGGTTCACTTTGGCCTGGGGAGTCAAGTTCAGCCTTCGCTTCAATAATATATGGCGCCATCTAGCGCCGTGAATGGGTATAAAGTCTAGACCCCGAATATAAGACGACCCCCACTTTTTCAGTCTTATTTCAATGCAAAAAACACCGTCTTATATTCGGGCCAATACGGTAATTTTATCCTTTTGCACCGCTCTTAGGTGCCATTACATTTCGTGGGCCTTCTGTCCTGTGAAAAAAGACTCGTCTGGTCTCGGACTCCATATCCAAGAACTCCAGGTCAAAGAGAAGCTCTCACTCACCTGCGGCTGAACCTGAGGGAAGTCCGGCCTGTTCTCCAACTTCCAAGGGTCATCGGAGATGGCCCGAAGCAAGACTCCCTTCCTGCAGACCCGTTGACCCTCACATGCGCCGGTCCCCATTCCAGTATCAGATGGGATGGGTGCCGCCACCAGATTGTCCCTGCAGGGAGGTTGTGTGCAGTCTGAAGATGCCTCACAGGAGAGCAACGCTCCCACACATATTGACAAGAGAGCAAGCATGCCCAGTGAACCAAATGGAATCATGAACAAATGGCGATGTTGCTTCTGGAGGTCCACGGTGATTGTCCAACTTGGAGGTGTCTGTCCTGTTGCTCTTGATCTCATACAAAGGGTGGAAGCAGTCTTGTCACATTTCAGGAAGTGGCTCTTGATAGAGTGTTTGCTGGATGACCCTTTGATTTTTAAATCGTTCTATTGTTGTCCTCCTGCGCCCCGTTTGCTACAAATTATTTTTGTCATCTCTCTTTGGTTCTTTTACTGCTCAGTGCATCTCAGTCTTGGTCATCCTCTTTCTCCCACTCTCACCCTGCTTTGGCTCAGATTCCGAGATCGTTCCGCAGCACTCTTTGCTGCCTGACACACTAATGCACCCACCCCCTGACAAACATGCGCACGCACACACGCATGCACACACACACACACACACACACACACACACACACACACACACACACACACACACACACACACACACACACACACACACACACACACACACATGCATGAGTATCCCAAAGAGTTGATAGTTTATGAACTTTTACATACACTGAAAAAAGTTGGAATTGAATGTACTCAATTTTATTTTGTTAAGACCTTGCAAAAAAAAAATTAAAACATTTGGATCCAGATACATTTCTAAGTAGATTGTACACCTACTTGTTGAAAAAAGGATCCGTTGAATTTACTCAATTTTATTGCATTAAGTGGTTGCACTTAATAAAATCTGGATCCAGATGTTTTTAAGTAGACTACACATCTACTTAAAGATCCAAAAGGGGCAGATAATAGCCCTGTTCACACGGCACACATTTGGTCCGACGATGCACCGAAATATTTTGTTGCGATATATTTTGTCTTGTCTTTTAAACATCCCTCCACCAATACGCTGACTTTTGATGATTTTTCACTCTGTCGTCAAGTTTAACAACTACTAAGGGATAAAGTATTTCAAAACAGCCAAATGTTCTGCCTGTAATTCAAATCGTTATTCTTGTAAGCATTAAGGGAGTTTTGTGTGTTGTTTAAGTCATTTTATGTTTTTTGATTTGGTATTTACCAAAATTTTATCCTGCCACATATCAAAATCAGCTTTGGCCTGAAAAAAAATCCAGATTGGTCAGGCCGTAGTTGAAAATTAATTTCTTTTCACTGCTCCCACTATGCCCATCTGTACTGGAGATGAAGAAATGCAGCAGATGCTTCAAGAATGTGGCTTTATTAGCCTCGTCTTTTGTGGCATCTTCTCACTCACCTTCTTTTGTGCAGTGTTTTGTTTATAAACGGAGTTCCAGGTGGTCATAAAGACGGCCTTGAATAGGTGAAAGGGTAGGCAGGAATTTCTCCCAAAACACCAAGTAGAGACAGTTACAAAGAGCTCTGCACACCCGCAAACGAGGTGCACAAACAGTGGTGACAAACTGACATTCAGCTGAAGAAAAAGGATCAGTCCTGTAATACAAAAAATTGTCCTTAACACATGAACAATATCAAGATCACCGTATCCATGTGCGCTTTGAAATCAAGTCATTAAACAAGGAGGAGTTGGATTTGTGACATCATTTGTAATGTGTGTTAATAGCCCGAATATATATTAAATCAGTCTTTTTATATTTGATTAAGGCACATGAATAGGTCTCTGATTTGAAGTCTCCGCTCTGATTGTTTTGCTTCGTGTTCTAGATTTAACCTGTTATTTTTTTTCCACCAGTTTCATTGCAGAGAAAAAGCAAGTTATTTTTTTAACCTGTCATGTAAGGCTGATCACTTTGCAGTCGCCTTTTCTTTGAAACATTTACAAATACACATTTCTTATTGTCACAGAAGACCGTCAGAGCGCTCCAAATGTTTTGTTTTATCATGAAAATTACGTATTAGGTAATGTAGGAAAGTACACAATCAAACCTATGGATTGAAGAGGCAGCAATGAAAATACTGTATAGGTAAGCTAAGCAAGCGGACACTGCCGCCAAGTGGTAGTAGCGTGCGTGATACACCCTGAATTGACGGCCAGCCAGTCGCAGGGCCCCCGATGATTTATATCACAATGTTATAATTCTATCTTTAAAAACTGCCATAGCCCCCAGTCTGATACACACGCGGTTTTACAATTAGTGGAAGGGTCAACAAATTGAGAGGAGTCAATACGAAGTGCAGTCATGCGGTACTGATCTGATTGGGGGAGGGGATCTAAATGCGACACTGGGTCTGAAATTAAGCATCAAAAAAGCATTGTTGCATCAAAGACAAGACGGAATCATTGCACGTGTATCGTCATTCACCCTATTCTCGACCGCGCTGGAATTGCTTAATTTTTGTTTCATTTTTTTTGTGATATTTTTTGAATGATTTTTTTTTAATGGGTACCTATCATGCTATTTTAATTTTTTTTCATGTTTCCCTTGCCATCTATCTATCTATCTATCTATCTATCTATCTATCTATCTATCTATCTATCTATCCGTCTATCTGTCTGTCTGCCTGTCTGTCTGTCAAAAAGCGTGCACGTCACTGGCAGTGACGTTGCTGTGGGCGGGGTTTTGGAGGAGGAAGTGAAAGGGGAAGAGGAGATTCAAGAGGGGAGCATATATTTAGCTTGCTGGTCGGCTAGCCCTCCGACAAAAGTGCCAAATTTGCCAAGTGAGGATTAGTTACCTTTTTCGTTTCTGATACATTTTGGTTTTTTTGTTGCCAAAAAGAGTTAGTTCTGTCACAACAACGACATCGAGTTTGGCAAAGATTTAGGTGCCGGTGAGCTCGCTGACGTAGCGCCTAGTTAGCTGTCAGTGAACAACAATAGCTAGCTCGTTAGCCAGCACATCCCAGCCGGTAAGAGGACAAATTCCGCGTAACAAACAAAAAGTAAGTGTGGTCATTTTACGATTGAGAAATGTGGAGTCAAAAGAATTGTGATTGCTCTGTTGAGACTAATCCGAATAGGGACCTGTTTGTGAAAAACAAGGCCGCCTCTGGGCCCCACTTCATCAAGAAAGACGGCAGGATTAAATCGAGCATTTTTCGAGATATTACATAGAATGTGAGGGATTCGTACAAGAAAAAAAATCAGTGCGTGTATGCGTGCTAGCACATTTTTCGGATGTGATTTAACGCATTTTAAATCCAAGTATTAGAAACGGGCTTGATACTGTTGCCAGGAAGACTTTTTTTTCTGTGCATGTCAGATTTATACTCAGGCATGACTCACGGGGTTCACGTCGATACACGCCACTCACTCTGTACTCGATGACGTGAAGTTACATAATAATTTACCAATCTGAAGGACAACACCTGGCAACGATCATGTTTTGATGCATAGAGACACGTCCCTGTCATTTCAGCGATTCGACTCAATTGACAGCACAAGAAGCTCACGTGGTCGTGGTGTGTTGGCTCGTTACTTGGATGTGACTGAAAATTCCTGATTTCCTGATCAGGAAATGCTTTTCATATGCCGTGATTGATTTTTATACGATGCAGTAGCATAGAGATTTCGTGGGCTTGAATATCACATGCTGGTAGAAATTACACAGTCAACGCTTGAGCTCTTGCTACAAAGCAGATCGAAATATTTCTCCCAGTTTACCGGCGTGGTTGTCTAACATTTGCCCCCCCTGCTCTCTAAGCTACCGTAGATAACAAAAAAGTAAAGCACTCAAGCTGTGTCACATGGGGGGAAGATTACTGAAGAAGAATCGACATTAATGCATGATGCATTAAGAATTAATCTCACCTCATCTGTATTTATAGAGCACTTTAAAACAACCGCCACTTTGTGTTGTGTTGTATTCATGTGTAAAAGAAAAAAAATCTGGGTTCTGCCGATTTTCACAGCGCTAATATCAGCCACTTAAATCGGTTGGCTGATTTATCGGTCAGGCCCTAATAGTGCTCGTGGGCATATATTCTTTATCTCTTGCGAAAAGTGACTACTACAGCCATTTACTGAGTGACTTACAGTTGTCAAGTCAAGTACAACTTTATTGTCAAATGTGCAGTATGTGCAACATACAGCACAGATGAAATTACTTCCCTCTCAAACAGACAAGAGGAGCCGCTGCGGGTGCACGCGCCACCATCAAAAGAACAGTTTACATAAAATGACAAAATAATACAACACAACACTTAAGACACAGACAGTCATGCAATCTTAACCACTTTTCCTGCATACACTTTGTAGTTTGAAGCAGTTATAGATGAAAAAGGAGCAAATCCAAGTGTCCTTTTCACCAGTGGATCAAAGACGTCATGTTCAAAATGTGCACACATCTGCTACAAGCTAAGTTTGAAAGCAACAAGAAGCTGTAGCGTCCATTGACGAAAAGAGATTGGCTCACATCTCCTGCCCCATGTAAATCCGCTTCAATTCCAAGCCGCGACTCCCAGTTCCACATATGCATCGGCGCCTTGTAGTAGAAGAAAAAAGTCAATCAAGAAGGTACAAGTATTTTGTTTTCCATTCATCTTCATGAATGATTTTAACACTGAAGTAAAAGGAATAAAAATAAATCAGCCAACGTCTGACTGAAGGCGCCGCGCATATTATCGCCGAGATCAATTTCAAGATAAGAATAGGAATTTCCAATACAATACATCTTTATCTGTATAGCGCTTTCACAACAGCTGCAGCCCTAACAAAGCGCTTTAGGACGTTTAACATAAAATAATAATACAACCGAACACACAACATAAAACTTTGACAACAATACAATGGGAACAATTGTTCCTGCCACACGACTTGTTGTTAGAAGCGGTTGCCGATGAATAAGGAGAGAATCAAAGTCTCTCCTTTCACCCATGGTTCGGAGATGTCCTGATCACACCGTGTGTGACGTCACACGCGTTCGCTACGAGCTAAATATGAAAGTAAAAAAGCTGTAGCGTCCGTTGACGAACACAAGAGATCACTTCCATTCTCCTGTGTCAGCTGTTCCAACGCAGGCTGTCCAACATAACCGACAGCTCCAGCGCACAAAACGGGGCTCTGAAAAAAAAATGCTGCCCATTCCAGGGAC